GACTTATATTGTTCTGTTATTTATAAACGACACTTCCCTCCCTTTTCCCCTTATTTCCATTTTCAGGCTTGGGACACTCGGAGCTTGTATTCTTAGTGGTAATTCTTAGGATTATATGAATATATGGGTCCATTGTCTTAGGCTGTGAAGTAAATCAATGCCACTCAGGTAATGTCAAGGACACCAGGATGCCTTCATAGTCCAGTCCCCTTTGCCCAAGCTCACATCATGGTCTAGCATTTGATTTCTACCTTGTTTTAGGCATTCTGTTCTACCCACCTACATTTGTTCCCTGACCGACTTCATGGCTCACAAGTTCCTTTAGCACCCTACTTCTCTTTGGGTCTCCATTCCATTTCAGTTTCACTAGAACTTCGACTGTACCTTGAAAAGCCTGCCTCTCTCAATACACTGCCTGGCATGGAGAGTAAGCAGATTCAGATAAAACAAGCTCACAACTCACAAGAAAAACAAAACCAGAAACAGCTCTGGACAAGAGATTTGGAGGGAAATGTATTCATCCACTTTCAATCTAACCAGCAATGGTCAAATTTTCTATATCTTCAGACAGATCTAGATAGGCATGCCCCTTCAGAGCCTCTGCTTCTAGAACTCTGTGACTAAGTGGATAAGAAGAGCCTCTTCACAGACCAGATGTCACCGTTCCATCATGCTCTCGTCCTATAGCCCGTCAAATTGTGTTACTGTTTATGTTTGGTTGGTTGCCTTTGTGGTTATGTTTGTCTGAGACCGAGTCTCACTATGTTGTTGTTCTGCCGATTACCAAGATTCAATCGGTAGATCAGGCTGGCCTTGAACTCACAGATATCCACCTGCCTCTGCCTCCTGAGTGCTGGGATTAAATCCCCTCAAGTATTCAACAAAGGTAAATCAGTGTCAAATAATAAAAGCGTAATTAAATGGCTCTTTACAGATACCACACTTTTAGAAACTTTATAAAACTGTTCAAATTAAAAAAAAAAAATCTACAGATAGTCTTAGGATTCAAATAGTTTGAAGAAATGTCCCAGGGTCTGAGGCTGCAGTTTAGTATACATGAGCCTGCAAACTGCCTTCTCGGCACTGAAAACTAATTAATTATTCCATTTCAAAGTGTCTCTACTTAACAATGAATCCAAAGTGACCTAAAAATACATTTAACAGAGAAAACTGTTAACAGCCATATAATTTTAAGGCTGCTCAAAAACAGGGGCCACATGAAAGATTTGTGATGCATTGCTTACGTGATCCAAACAGAAATGAACAATGCTATGTGGACTCCTACGAGTTCAAGTGGACACTTTTGAGTTCCAAGGTTAGAATACAGGCACACACACACAAAAATCCCCTGCTCTCCATCTGGGCTCCCATTCAAGCAGAGGCATTCATAGCAGAATGCCAGCCTTGCTTGCTGCCTGTTCACCCAGCATCTAAACCAGCTGGATCTCTTTGCTTAGTGTTAGAATGGCAACAGCTCCAGAACGTCAGTATATTCAGGTGCTGTGCACCCAGCTGCTACCCAAAGCCTGGGTGCAAAACAAGAGTTTCCTAGCCGTTCCTGACAGAGACCTAAATATAAAAGCTATCATAGTAGAACACTAAGTCTTTTGGATCTTTTTGCTTGTAACTCCACGGAATTCTTTCCTTCAGTTTTAGGTCCTCCACTTTGACAGTTAACAGAAGCACAGAGAAAACCTCATGTACTTGCTGAAATCCCCATCTGGGTACTAAAATCTGTTCCTTAATACTCATTATTTTAAAATGCACAGAGAAAACTTGTATAGAATTTCAAGACTTCGGCGCTTCCTGTTCTGAAAACCTGGCCATGCGTTACTGGAAGCTATTCTAGTCATTGCATGGCTTGGACACTAGGAAAGTGGTCACATGTGACAAAGCAGTGCCCTGACCTGAACTGCACCAGAAAACCCAGAAGTAACCAAAATGTCTGAAAAAAGAATTGTTTGTACAAAATACAGCATATACTCCAGAAAAATAAAGACTACTTACAATGCACTGTGGAATTTAAGAAGAAAGCACTGTGTACATATGCACGTGTATTTGTGCTTATTTGTGCTTGAGTATGTATGGATATTTGGGGATAGTCTTCCTGGAGAAGCCAGTTTCTTTCACAATGCTACATCCTTTCCTTTGCTGCACTTACAGCTCTGTTAATTTGTGTATAAATACATCTCTCTCCTTCTGGTCTACAGCAGAGTCTCTTAGTTTTGTACACCACAACACTTAACACTCAGTCCTAACAGTTGGAGGAAGGAGATACAAGACGTAAATTTTGACGAGGGACACAAAGGGTCCCAGTCAAAACTGAACTATCAAACTAAAAAGGGCCTATCCTCATCATTTCCACTTAGAACACAGAAAGACCAGGAAGGCCAGAAGTAGATGCAGCAGGGACAACATTCTAAGCAAGACAGGCTCTCTCTGGACCTGTTGTAGTTATGACAGAGGAGAGGTTGGAAGTGGGGCAGATGTCTCGCCTGGTCCCTGCAGCTGTTTAGTCCCAAATACAATACACAGAGGCTTATATTAATTATAAACTGTTTGGCAGATGGCTCAGAGTTATATTTGGCTAGCTCTCTCTTAATTATTAGCCCATTTCTATTAATGTATGTATTTTCATGTAGTCTTGGCTTACCAGGGAGAATGCCCCGGACACCCTAACTTCCTGATGGCTACATGGCATCTTTCGCTGGCAACTGCTTCCCTGCCTTTTCTCTTCCCAAAATTCTCCTTGTCTGGTAGCCCCACCTATAAATCCTGCCTGGCTACTTGTCAATCAGCATTTATTCATCAACCAATTAAAAAAACATATATTCACAGCATACAGAATGACATCCTCCATCACACCAGTGTCTGAATTCTAACTGGTCTGTGGCCAGTTAGAAAATACTGAAAATACTAGGGAAAGGACATGTCCCTATATACGAGTGGAGGCCAGTGAGATAGCTCACAGGATAAAGGCACTCACTGGCAAACCTGATGACCTGAATTTGATTCTAGGACTCACATAATGAAGAACAAACTCCCTTAAGTAGTCCACCCATTCACCCATTCACCCATTCACCCATTCACCCATTTACCCAAACGTTATGTGTCACTTCTACCATGACCCAGTATAACTGATGGCAGTCACTATGCCCTGGAAGACAATAAGGAAGAAAAAAAAATCAATGGCTAGTGAATGGCAGAAGTTGGGTAAAGACTGGAATTTTAACTAAGGTAAATTTTATAATTAGGAACTTATCACATCCAGTTCTAGATCAAACATGTACAATGGGTTCCCCAGTCTTGGTCAAGTAGGTACACACTTCTTCAGTGCACATACAGAGATCATAAATGCAATGCCCATTAAGTTTTGCTTTTCAGGTCAGCACAGGCCTCCTTTATGTTATTCTTAATCTTGGTACCACTGAGATTTTAACCTAGATCAGTGGTTCTTAACCCGTGGGTCCCAATCCATTTGGGAGTTGAACGACCCTTTCACAGGATCGCCTAAGGCCATCAGAAAATAGATATTTACAATTACAACCATAACAGTAGCAAAATTTACAGTTATGAAGTAGCAAAAAAAATAATTTTATGGTTGGGGGTCATCACAACATGAAGAACTGTATTAAAGGGTCACAGCATTAGGAAGGTTAAGAACTATTGGCCAGCCGGGCGTTGGTGACACACACCTTTAATGCCAGCACTTGGGAGGCAGAGGCAGGCGGATCTCTGTGAGTTTGAGACCAGCCTGGTCTATAAGAGCTAGTTCCAGGACAGCCTCCAAAGCCACAGAGAAACCCTGTCTCAAACCACCCCCCCCCCAGAAAAAAAAGAACTACTGGACAGCACAATTACTGTAGAATCTTGCAGGCTAAACTGTGCCCCTCCCAGACATAAATGTAGGCAGTCTTAACAGAAAGACTATTTGCAGAGACTCATTCAAGAGGTATAGTAAAGTGAGGTCATGTAAAAGGGTCCAGCATGACAGGTGTCCTCATAGGGAGATGAGACACAGACAGATGTACACAGAGAGAAGACCATGTAAGGACACTCTGAAAAGGCAGCATCTGTGAGCAAAGGAGGCCTCAGAAGACTCCCTATTGATCTAGCCTTCCAGGCCCTGGAACTGTGAGGAAAATCAATGCTCACGGTGGAGACAAGGTTTGACAGAGGCCTGGGCCCCTGCCCATATGGTAATGTTCCTCTAACCCCCTCAAGTCCTAATAAGTAAAACCATCTCCATACTCTGTTCAACTGTCCTTAGGAACAAACTCTCCTGTCTGTCCCACTGAGAACCAGTTTTAGAATGCACCAACTGTTGGCCATCATTACATTCCAAGTATTCAGTACAGTGACTGGTAAGTTACTATCTGAATCCATGTGCCTGGTTTCCAGCTTGTGTTTCATCTCTCCTTTGCAAACTGCTTTTGCTGCAAATATTAACAGTAATTGCTTCCAATTTAATGTATGGCAGATTATGACATTTTAAATGAAACATGGCTTTTACTATAGCCTAATCCTGGTAACTCAGCGATATAAACATGTCAGTGTTAACCTCTGCTCACTTATCTCATAGCAAACCCACCAATAGATTCAGTGAGTGGTTCTGGCGTCCGTTTCCCAAACTCAGGGAACTCAGAAGGAACATCAATGGCAGTGCCAGTGTGAAAACATTCAACTCTTGCCATAATGAAGATCCACCCCCCACAACACATACACACATTGTCAGTAGCCTCAAAGCACAGCAAAAAGTCAGTGTCCACAGAGATAGTCTATGCAAAGGAGAAGCCATAAATGGTTTCCCCAGCAACAGACTCATTGCTATAGCCTGGCCATATGTGCTGCTGTGTGTGAAAGCTTGTGTGTCTGGGCTGGGCAGTGGCTGAGGGGTCGACAGGGGACAAGCTAGCTTTGAAATGCCAAACAAAGGCAGGGAAAAACTGGGAATTGAAGGCATTTTGCACACAATAACAAATTTTATGACAAATGCAATATAAAGATTTATAGCCTTTATTCAAATACTCTCAAGACACTATTTCAAGGAAATTACAAACTGTGTATTCATTGATAAAATCCATTTATTTCATTTTTTTTGTTTGTTTGTTTAACAGCTGGGATTCAAAGTGTTAGAGATCTGCCTGACCCCAGTGGAAAAATACTAACAGAAATAATTGTTAGATGCCATTTCAGAAGCATATACATATGTTTCAGAGTTACTATGACTGTTACCTTACCTTACAGTACTTCCTTTCCTGACTTTTCAAAAATTATAAAACTAACTTTGTGACTTTATATTATAAACCTACTCTATATGTAAAACACAGGTATGTCTAACAACCAAAAACATTTAACTTAGGTACTAACCAGTAACTGCTGGTGGCCTGGCATCAGGCACGCATATGAAGAGGGTGAATTGTGACAAAAGCATATATACTCTTACCAGCTTGTTACCATCAAGAGGACAAAAAGAAGCTGTTGCCGGGGTTGGGGGGGCAATGAAAAAAAGTGAAAAACGACTTTAAAATATCCTGAAATAGAGAAGTCAAGCCGAGGCAAACATCCCCACTAAGGAATGTGTGCGTTGGGCAAAACAGGTCAATGTGGTTTTAGGGGAGAAACATCTTAAAGGAAAGAAGCAACTGACCAAGAAGGGTCAAGATTCATTTCACAACTCTTCTTTTTTTTTTTTTTTCTAGAAAGGCAAAGAAGAATGAAAATAAATTATTATATTTAGCATTAAACATCTTCCCTGGGCATTGCTAAATATGAAAGCACACATGGCAATAAAAAACATCATATTCTGGTCACCATATGGAAAAGCTGACAAAAGCCCATACTAGTTCCTATTCCGCTTGTTTCTTGGTTCAATCTCAGCACTTTCGATGGCTCTAGTGCGGTGATTCTGTTGTGGGTTTATTTCTCTGTTCTGATCGTTTCTGCAAACAAGAAAAATAGAGATAACACATCAGAAAGCAATGGTCATTGTTCCGTTGGTTCTCCTGTATACTAAGTATTCTCACATGCAGGATTTCAACAAAGCCTTCAACTGCCCCCTCTTCTAGAGACACAGCTATAGTTTTTATTATCACTATAATTAGCATTCCCATTTTATAAGTATGAGAACAATGAATTTTCAAAGACCAAAAAAAGAGTCTTTCCCTTGATCAAAATCCAATAGCTTTGAAAAGCTATGTACAGTGGTAAACCTGCAATCCCAGCACTCGGGAGGCAGAAGAAGGAAGATCTGATTTTGAGGACAGCCTGGTCTACATTCTGAGTTCCAGGCCATACTGGAAATAGGCATGAATTCTATATCCAGACCTGATCTCAACAAACAGAGCTGGGGAGATGGCTCAGCCACTAAAATCTTGTCCTGAGTTCCATCCCTAGAGCCCTGTGGTGATCCGAATAAGAATGGTCCCCACAGGCTTGGTATTTGAATACCAAGTCATCAGGTAGTGGCACTACTTGAGAAGGACTAGGGGTGTTGCCTTATTTGAGTAGCTGTGGCCTTGCTGGAGGACATATGTCACTGGGGAGGGGGGCTTGGAGGTTTCAAAAGCCTAAGCCAGGCCCAGTGCTGCTCTCTTCTTGTTTCCATCAGATCTGGATGTAGAACTCTCAGCTACTTCTCCAGCATCAAGTCTGCTTGAGTACTGCCATGCTTCCAGCCGTAAAAGATTAAACCTCTGAAACTGCAAGCAAGCCTCAATTAAATGTGTTCTTTTATAAGAGTAGCCATGGTCATGGTGTCTCTTCACAGCAGTAGAAACCCTAACTAAGAGTAACAGAACTGTGCTGTTTTTCTGAGATGTTGTTTTTTACTTTTTTTTTTTTAAATGGAAAGTGCTGGATGTCTACAATTTTGTTCAAATGACTGCTGCTATTGATGCATAACATACTGCCATTATTGGTCTTTATAGATATAGATATAGATATAGATATAGATATAGATATAGATATAGATATAGATATAGATATAGATATAGATATAGATATAGATATAGATATAGATATAGATATAGATATAGATATAGATATAGATATAGATATAGATATAGATATAGATATAGATATAGATATAGATATAGATATAGATATAGATATAGATATAGATATAGATATAGATATAGATATAGATATAGATATAGATATAGATATAGATATAGATATAGATATAGATATAGATATATAGATATAGATGTAATTTGAATTTTTGGAAACTTTAGCTGTGCTGTCAACTTTGGAAAAAGTACCCCAATTTACCATGTTGAGTTGGCATTGTACAAAAATTAACAGCCATATTGGTCTAGAAATGTTGAACTTAATTTTTTTTCCATTTGTACAAGGGTAACACACTGTATTAAATATGTAAGGTGTTAAAAAAAGGGGGGGGATTTTGAGAGCCCATCCCTTGTGAAGGGAAGCTCTCTTGACCTGGACACATGGGGAAGGGCCTAGGCCTGGCCCAGGATGATGTGGTAGACTTTGGGGAGCCCCTTTTGAGGGCCTTACCCTGCCGGGATGGCTAGGGGCAGGTGGGATGTTGGGGGGGAGGGGAGGGAGATGGAGAAGGGATTGACATCTGAAGCAAGCTTGTTCCTAATGTGAAATAATAAAATAAAAAAATGTAATTGATAGTGAAAATGTAAAAGCCAAGCACAATGGCCTGTGCTTGTAACCCCAGTACTGGGAAGGTAGCTAGGTGGCTAGATCCCTGGGCTGAGGTTCAGTGACAGCTGGCTTAACTTACCTAGTAAGCTCCCAGCCACTGAGGAGTCCTGTCTATCTCTTTCTATCTCCCTCCGTCTTCCCTCTCTCTCACACACGACCCAAACAAAACCCAAAGAAAAAACAAGTCCCTCACACAAATTCCCTCACTTTGGGCAGAGCATCAGATAATGAAAGAGAGAGAGCTGCTATGTAATCAATGAAACTTCTCAAGAACCCTCCTTTCTCTTTCTTTCTTTGTTTTGTTTATTCTGATGTTGGTAATCAAACCCTAGGCCTCGAACATTTTCACCATGAATTCTTGTTGTTGGTGTTTGTTTTGTTGAGAAAGAGTCTTACTGTGTAGCTCTGACTGCCCTAAAGCAAACAACTTAGGCCAGGCTAGCATGAATTCTTAAGCACAAGGTAGCAGTCTGAGACGATCATGTGAGTCTATACACACTTGGAAGCCTCATTCCTGGACTGGGTGCTCGCTCATGAGAAGTCTAGGATGGGCCAGAACAGGAGCACCTACAGAGATAGTCCCTGAGGCAGGCAGAAAGCACTCTGCCTCCCGGGTGCTTCTCTTCTGTGAAGAGCAGGAAAACTCTGGTCTCTGGGCTCAGACAAACATCTCCGAGTCTCAGTGTGGAAAAAACGGGACCTGAAGATCTCACAGATGCTTTGGTCATGGCAGCCAGAACAAGCACTATAATCCAACCAGGCCAACTCTGGAATCTCCTGGCTCAACTTCCCAAATTAATGGCCACACAGAAGTAAGCTCTTCTCTAGGCACAAACACTGTTTAGCTCAGTCTCTGGCATCCTATACAGTATGTCCAATCTTAGGCTAAAATGAAGATATAAAAGAAGAAAGAGACCCCACTATCATGCACAAACAGCTGGTGCAGAGGCAGCCCACATACTGGACCCACCAGACCATGGAACTTCAAAATAACTGTGACCAATACACCAAGGGCTCTAATAAAAAAGGTAGGAAACATCCAGAGAATTTCAGCAAACCTGGAGATGATATGAAGAAATCACTTGGAAATATTGGGACAGTTCTAAGGCAACAGAGAAGAAGTATTTCTTCAAAGGACTGTCAAATGTAAGGTATAGAACTGATAAATGACTCGGATGTATCAACAAAAAAATCCTAACTGGGGGGCAGGAGAGAAGGCTGCTTGGTGGTTAAGAGTGCTTGCTCCAGAGCAAGATAGCTCTTAACCACCTTTAAAACCAGGTCCAGGGGATTCAATGCCCTCTTCACTTGCTCCTGCACAGGCGCAACTCTCTCTCTCTCTCTCTCTCTCTCTCTCTCTCTCTCTCTCTCTCTCTCTCTCTTTCTTTTCTTTTTTTTTGCTTTGTGTGCATGCATGACTAGAATCCCTGTAGAAGAAACAACTGTGGAAAATTAATTACATAGCTGTCAGTTTTCTAAAAATAATTAAAGACATCAAACAAAGACTAAAGGTGGTCAACTCACCACCATTTAACAAACAACAAACAGAAAGCACCTAGATACATATTCAAAGTGCTGAAAAACCTCTGGAGGCGGGCAGAGAAAAAGGAACATTCCACAGAGGGATGAGTAAGATTTACAGCAGGCTTCTCATAAGGAACCAAACAGACCTCATGGTGATACAGTAATAACTTGAAAGTGCCAGAGGAAAACCTGTCAGCCCAGAATCCACCCCCAGCAAAATATCTTTCAAACATGAAAGCTAAGGAAAGACATCTCAGACAAAAGCTAAGAGGATTGATGGCTAATACATTTAAGAAACAATGTAAGAAATATTAAAGGAAGCTTTTTACATCAAACAAGCTCGATCACCAGCTGTAAATCTGGGTCTATTTACCATGCACAGGAGTAAATATATGACAACAAGACCATGAATATAGGTTCTCATACACCAAGGGACATATGTGAAGGCTCACTGTGATAAATATGCATGTCACAAACCTCAGGACAAGCAACTATTTAAAAATAAAGGTAAAAAGCTGGGTGTTGGTGGTGCACGCCTTTGATACCAGCACTCGGGAGGCAGAAGCAGGCAGATCTCTGTGAGTTCAAAGCCACCCTGGTCTACAGAGCAAGTTCCAGGACAGCCTCCAAAGCAATAGAGAAAAACCCTGTCTAGAAAAAACAAAAACAACAAAAAAGGTACAACAATAATAAGCCAATATTGGACATAAAATGAAATCACATGTCATTGCCTATTGATGGAAAATGGGTTCAGATAGGAGAAAAGGGAAGGAAGAGGCATTAGGGCAATAGGATTCTGCAGAAAGTACAGTTTATTTTTCACAGCATGGGCAGAGCCAGAAAACAGGCATCTGAACTGCTCAAGACCCAGTTCCCACAGGGTGACACAGAAAGGCCAGATGACACCAATATGGGCAAGCAGCTCATGTAGGAAAACTCTTTTTAATGGTCAGTATTGTGTCTCCTGTTTCTGGACAGGGGGGTCTTTCCAATGCAAACACCCTGAATACATAGAAGAAGCATGTACACAAAGAGCAGTCACTGCCTGGCTTTTCAGAACAAAGAGAAAAAAGCAAGACTCTTAGATACATGTCTCACATCAATACCGACCCTGTTTCTACATCAGAGTGACTTCTAGAGAACTGAAATATACCACTTCATCAGCCATTGTGACCAACTGACAGGAACTGGCATTAGTTCATTCTATTTGTCTCGTAGAGAGTTTAATTAAAATTACTAGCAGTAGAATGAAGTGAATTTGCAATAGTAAACCCAAGTATGAGGCCAGAACCCCAGACCCAGCAAGCAGAACAATTCTATAAACCTTCAGTGACTACCTTAAAAAGCCACATAGAATCTTGGCAGTGACTCAACGTACTCATAAATACCTTCCAGAGGCAATCAGTCACCTCAGCTAAAGTCAAGGGCAGACAATTGAATGGTTCTTATTGTAGGACTAGCAGGGTATGTACATTCACAGCCCTCCCCGGTAACAAAAGGCAGCTTCTATCTAAAGGGCTCTTCACAGGTGTTTGAGGGCTTCCTAATCCACCAGTGGTGTTTCTTTGAATTCTTAAAAATTGATAATGATCGTCACTTGTGTGTTAGTCACGTTTCTGAGAGGAAGGAAAAATTAATACCTGGCTTCCATACAAGCAGCATAGTCTAGGGCACTCCCCACAAAAGTGCTCCTGGAAAGAAAGTAGTACTCATAACTGTTGGTTTCCCAGAAATGGCATCAGCATCAAGTGGGGTACTCGACTACACTTCCTAAGAGACTGTCTGGTCAGTTAGTAAAACATCAGGATAGTTTCTTACTCAGTTCAAATAACTGAATTCACTCCTGGTTTTTGAAGAGACTGCTAATACAACCCAATCTCATCTGTACATGCCACCAGCAGGGTGGGACAACTGAGCAACAATTTGAGAATGGAGAAAACAAAGACATCTGTAGGCAATAACATGGTTCTGTATGAGAAAGGGCAAGGATCTGCTGAACAGTTCACAAAAAGGCTATGGTGAATGAAGGCCAAATTATGTTCCAAGTCATCTGACAGAGGACAGCCGACAGGAAAACCTAAGGCACTTGCAGCCATTGGGAGAATCTCACAATGACATTTTTCCAGTGTGAAGAGTCTTCTACAGATTGCTCTGAACCTCAGTGCCTCTTTCTGTCTACAACTGCCAAAGCCTAGAAGTTCCTCTTTCAGATGCCAGTGTTATCAGTACTCCTTCCCCTCTACAAAAGTTAGTTAGAATGTCACCTGTTTAAATGATATACCACATTCATTCAGTCTTTTTACTCAAATGGATCAGATGCAGGAGGGATAAGGACATTTTATTCTCCACACTTTCGCCAGGGTGGGTCAAGGCAGGTCTTCTCAACAAATAATGTACTCAACCAAATGGTTTAGATTCTTCTGATTTAGAACAAAGGCTAGCAAATTTTCTACAATGGTCCAAATATTTTGGACTTTGCCGACTCTGCTGCAACTACCTGACTGTCGTAACATGAAACACCAAAGAAGCAATGTGAACCAACAGACAAAGGAATGTATGGCTATTTCTAACAAAACTTTATTAACAAAATCAGACAGTGGACAGATTTGGCTTATGGGCCAACATTTGCCAACCTAGGGCTACAACAACCCAATAAAATAAAGTTTAACTTTAGCCAAACTCCCACCCAGAGAGTATACCAATATAGCCAATCCAAGGATGCTATTTGGAAGGGGGGGAGGGAGGGAGGGAGAAAGGAAGGGGAGGGAGGGAGGGAGGGAGGAGGAAGGGAGGAAGGGAGGGAATTGTGTATGAAGATGATTTACAGGAGCCTGGAAGGCCAAACTCAAGTCATCTGGCTCAACTGCAAGCATTTTTGCCCACTGAGTCATCTTGCTGGTCCCAGAATTCTGAGGTTTTGAAACAGCATAACTCCAACACCATTTTTAAAATCACTAACCAGAAAGTGTCCAACAAAGAAAAGATATCTTTCTGAGGACAGTAGTATTTAATGATTAAGTCTATCAACACCTTGATCCTCAACTTTCAGCCTCTAGAGCTGTCGGAAATGCATTTCTATTGTTTAATGCATGATGCAACCACCCACTCTCTACCAGTACTGTCTCATTTTGCAGTAGGTTATCATAGATTCAAAGATCAGAAGAGCTTGGCAGAACCTACATGTCAAATGGAAATGACACACAGAAGAGTACAGTCAGTCTGACCCAAGGATCATCTCAGCTTTATACCAGGCCATAGTAGCTACACTACAAGAAACATTTTATTCCTTCCTCTGTCACCTTACACGTTTATCAAAAGTAATACCACCACCACAACAAATGAACCCTAATATAAACCATTACATTTATTAAAAAAGAAGTCTCACATTACCGAATTTAAAGCATTATCAAACACCAATTATTAAGTGTTAAAACGACATCTAAACAATCAATAAATACAAGAGTGATTCCAGAAACAAATCTATACACACTTATGAAATAGACATGGGTCATCTCTTTAATACCCAATGCTACAGCAATGAGAAAGCCTTATGCAAAAAAAGAACCATGGAATCAGTCATCGCAACACCTTCTGACACTTATAAAAATGTACTTGAAAGAAGTTACAAACCTTAATGTAAAACCTAATACCTGTAAGCCATAAAAGAGAAATCTTGGTGATTTTGGATTATAAGTTTCCTAGGTAGGACAAAATAGACATACTACATTTCTTCAAAATTAAAAGCTGTACTTTGAGAAACAGCACCAAGAAAACAAAAAGGCAAATAAATACAGAAAAGATGAGAATGAGGACCCCCCCACCTTCCCCCCAAGCTTGGCGTTTTAGTGGGTCTAAACACTGTTCCTGATATAGCACTTTAAAAGAGCAGAGACGGGCTAGTGTGTGGAGAACATGAAAAACACACAAGCCAGAGGATTCCCACACTCTTTTGCTTTAGGAAATTATTCTCTGAGGAAGGAAGGAGGCCATTGATGAGTGGTGCACCATTGGCATACAATCTGCAGACCCACTGTAACCTGCATGGCCCTCTATCCACAAAGGGCTGTTATGAAAATGAGTCTGTGTCTGTGGCAATGTTTTGGCTTGTTTTTGGAGGGGGGTGAAATTTTACTCCTTATTGCCTGTGGTAGCTTTCCATTCCATCTTTTGCTTCATGTACTCTGGGACTTTTGGTACATTTATATATGTTCTCAATCATTTTGTCTTCTTGATAGATGGACCTTTTCAAGCATTATAAATGTCTTTGACTCTGTTATACTTTTTACCATTAAGTCTATCTTGTCCACACTATCTTTATGCTATATGGTGATATTTTGTTTATGATCTAACAAATAAAGCTTGCCTGAAAATCAGAGTGCAAAGCTAGCAGACAGTGTGGCAGTGGTGGCACAGACCTTTAATCCCAGCAGTAACACCAGTTAGCCATAGAGGCCAGGCAGTGTTGGAATACACCTTTAATCCCAGCACTCGGGAGACAGAGGCAGATGGATCTCTGTTAGTTCAAGGCCACCCTGGCCTACACGAAATTGATCCAGTCTAAAAGAGAAACAGAGCTCACACAAAGGTGATCCCAGCACTTGGAATGACATGCCTGTAATCCCAGCACTAAGGAGGTGGAGACAGGAATGATATGGCTGGACAGAGAGAGGAATATAAGGTGGGAGGAGACAGAGGCTCATGACAATTTGAGGACAGGTCTGAATAGTGGTAGAGGTAAGAAATCTCTAGTGGCCGCTTTGCTTCTCTGATATTTCAGCTTTCATCCCTTGATAGTTGGCTCTGAGTTTTTAATTATTAATACCAATTACAATGTTAGCCTTGTTCTTTTGCTTTCAGTATATTGGTGTCTTGAAATAAAAAAGTTGTCCTTTGTAGACAAAGCACAGGACATAGTACATCTTTTTTTTTTATTCTAATCCATTCTGCAGTGTCTATATTCTGATTGGGATGTATATAACCCAATCCTACAATCATTCATAAAGCAGAATTTGTGTGTCACTTTTTTTATTGTCATTTTTCTATTCCACCATCTCTGTCTTCTTTGGTGTTATCCAGATATCTTCTATTGTAGCATTTTAATCCACTTTGAATTTGTCTATTATCTTAAACAATCATCATCACATCATTATTTTTTATTTTGAACATAAGGTCTCATGTAGCCCAAGCTGGCATCAAACTTGATACAAAGCTGAGGATGTCCTTGAACTTCTGATCTTTCTGCTTAGTAAAAAACACTGTTGATGAGGCAAGGAAAGTGAATTCTGAAAATGGCCTTTGAATTTAGAGGTATGGAGGTCTTCAAAGAAGGCTGGAAATGGAAGATTAAGAAACAGAAACTGCTCTTTTACCGGGACCCATCAAGATGGGCCACATTTGCACCAAGACTGTGAAGAAGGCGGCCCGAGTTATCATCGAGAAGTACTACACGCGCCTGGGCAATGACTACCACACCAACAAGCAAGCACATGTGCGAGGAGATCGCCATTATTCCCAGCAAGAAACTCCACAACAAGATAGCCGGCTATGTCATGGATCTCATGAGGATTCAGAGAGGTCCTGTGAGAGGCCTCTCTATCAAGTTGCAGGAGGAAGAGAGAGAGAGGAGAGATAATTATGTTCCTGAGGTCTCAGCCCTAAACCAGGAGATCACTGAGGTGGATCCTGACACCAAGGAAATGCTGAAGCTTCTGAACTTCGGCAGTCTCTCCAACCTGCAAGTCACTCAGCCTACAGTTGGGATGAATTTCAAAACACCACGTGGAGCCGTTTGAATCTGTTCTGTCAGATTTCCAATAAACCTGAAAACAAAAAAAACCAAACCAAAACAAAACAAAACAAAAAAAACAAAAAAAGAAAAAAAAGAAAGAGAGAAACAGAAACTGCAGGATGACATCACTACTAAGGAAGCGGAAATGAGGAACACCTGTGGCTGCAGAGGCTGCCACTGCACACCAAGAACAAAATGAGAAAGAGCAGGCTAAAAAGGGACAGGTTGCCTGTGTAAGAGAAAGAAGGACAAAGGGAGGTGGCTCCAGACAAGGGAGTAAGAAGGAGGCAGAAGGAGAAATTCACCTCAGACACAAGGAAGATATTTCTTTATTTACTCTGAGCCTGTGCTTAGCAAATTATCATACCATCCAAAAAATATTGTGGCCACAGAAGCAAGATCTACAAGTAACTAGATATTGCACCAGGACTCCAGTTCCACAGTGAAACCAGACAAGAAACACACACAACACAAATCTTTGCTGTCCCCCTGGACTAGTTAGTCTCTTCCATCCATCAGAAAGCACACATGTCTTATATAGAATCAGCTGCACAGCATTCTCATCTCTCAGACCCAAGCTCACACACTTGCTGACTATGAGAACTCACCTGTGAGATGCTTCCCAGGCTTCCTCTTCTTCCAGAAGGTCTCTTATGATGTCCGAACTGGAACTAAAAGGACATGTATCAGCAATGCCACACTGTGAGGTCTGTTCTGGCCCAAACATGAGTACTGGGGAGCTACAGTCAGTGGAGGACCAGGTGGCACAACGAGATACATAAGGGTAGGCATGTTCACCATCCACACTGTGAAGATGGTTTTGTAGCAAATACCTATGTAGAACCTCATCAAATTTGATCCCTTAAATATTTATAATTTATTATATATTCCAACCATTCCAAAAAGCCATACAATCTTTAGTGAGTTAGCAATGATAAAAACAATGAGGAAAGCTTAAATAAATCCCTCAACATAAAACCTGAGTCTAGACAGAGCAATGACATGAGGCTTTTTAATCTGTTATGTCAATCAGAGATCAAATTACAATTTAGTCGGTCCCCAGCACTATCAAAAAGGAAAAGAGAAAGAGATTGTATTTTAAAAACTAAATTCTAGTGATGGGATGTAACTGGCTTTTAGTGGCTTTTAGTCTCTTGGTAACCAACATGAAGTAGCACAATGCATGTGAGCAGTGCTACTAATGGAAATGTGTTATAAAAATGTGATCTAGCTTAAAATGTCACACTCTCTAGTGGTGCGTGGAAAACGAGGTCATAGGGAGCATGAATTACTCCTCTTAAAGAGAAAACTATTTGAGAGCTTTAGAATATTTTGTTCTCACATAATCAATGAAAACTACTTTAGAAAGGCCATGTGTCCACAGGATCAACACACTTCTCTAGACATTCTACATGGAATGTCATGGGAAACATACGGGACACTCAAAAACAAATGTCACCTAGAGAAAGAGTAACGGTAAGGTGAGAAAAAACTGGGTTGAAAATATTAAATGTGAATAATGTCTCTAATGATATACTAATAAACAACAAAAGCTTTAAATTATGGAGATTTAAAGTGTCAATGAAGCACTTTCAACCATTTCTGACAAATCATACTGAAGCAGCATTTGCCTATGATGCCTAGACAAAAGGCCACAGAGATCATCAAACAGCTTTGCACCAAAGGTTTCACTCAATGTATTTCCCCAAGTCCTCTAGATTCTCAAGGAGCCTCATGCAAGGTCTGGGTGGAGAGGTTATCCAGTCATAGTACATATGTAACCCCCATACTTTTAGTTCATTCCCTGCGCATCTGAAAACAAGGAGCTCACTGGTATTAATAATTTCTGGTCCGTGGCTTGAAAAATATCCATAACAATAAGGAGCAGATGTAAATTCAATAATACTTTAGTTGTGTTTACTCATATAGCAGTACACACATATGATTTTTTAAAGTAGTAGGGCACTATCTTGTCCACAGCCAATTTCGACTTATCTATATATGCACGGCAATTATTCCTTTAGGTCCCTGTATTGCAGACCCCTGACATAGCCTGCCATAGTACCCAAGTATGTGCTACTATTTCCCACTGAGAAATGGTCCCTCTCAAAAGCTAGGTGTCCCCTGGAACAATGAACACTTCTTCATTAGTCAATTTCATCCAACGCTGGTTTGTAACAAACCTTTCCAATTAAACAACTACTGAAATGGAGCTTTTACTAGAAGAAGCAGCAGCATGGCAGAAAACCCTGCAGGTCGGTCAGCTGAGTTCACTAACTTGACTCTCTGGGAGGCAGACCAGTACACAGCACCTCACTGGGGAGGGCTCAAGCCCACTGCCACTGCCATTCCCACAGAAGCAGTTTTAAACCTTTTTGGTCACAAACTCTCAACTCTGGTGCCTCCTTATTATGCAATAACTGTTCTAATTGCAGATGAAACCTGCAGTTATTTACTCTTTCATGTTCCCTGGCAATGTGTCTGACAATATTTCTGGGAGTTGGAGAGATACTTAACTATGTTTCTGAACAGTGTCACGTGGTCAGAAGAAAGAGTAAAGTCTGCTTTTTGTCCAGGACCCTCACCCACCACCAAAAATATTTAAACAACATTAATTTAAAAAAAAAGGTAAGGGCCAGGCATGATGGCACACAACTTTAATCCCAGCACTGTCAAGGCAGACACAGGTGAACCTTTGAGATCTCCAAGTTGGAGGCTAGCCTGGTCTACAAAGCAAATTCCAGTTTCAGTCCTGTCCAAAAGCTGGTAGTCTGTGATTGGTTTTCCTAGGTGCTTTCAAATCAACCAGCACAGTCACCAGTTTGTTAAAGGGAATATGTGCGGTGCACATGGCATTCATTTGAGAGGCTCCTGAAGTAACTCCTCAGTGGAAACAGACTGTAGATTCACAAAGCACACACCAAGTTGCTTTCTCCTGTCTTCCATACTGATGCCCAGCCATGCTGGCAGCTACTGGATGTCCTCAACTTTCATTTCTTCCCACTACATCATATACATCTTAGACCCTCATGAGAATGATCACAAACTGATTGGTACAAAGTCAAGGAAGCATCAAGCTGACTAGCTATGAAGCTTCGGGGTCTATGGTACATCTACTACTTCAATTTCTGTCACCACTCAATACTAAAAGTTGGCAGGAACACATGGCAATACCAGACAAAACTGTTCAAACCTGTCTAAAGTAATGTATTCACCATGTCCTTCTCAAAAGTCAGATGTCAGAAATTAAGCATACAATCTCATAATTAGGACTTTACAAAGGGACTACCACACATAAGTTAATGTTACTAAAATTATCACTTGAAGATTTCATTCCTGTAGACAGAAGCAATTAATATTTTTGAAATTTTGTTCATTTTAATATGCTTTTAAGATAAAAAATTCTAAATACCATTAAGACATCTAAAAAAAATCTTAGGATTAATTTAATTGCTCAGTCTGATATACCCGGGTCAGAGCATGTGCAATCCTAAACAAACATAACTTTTACATCTAGAGCAAGGAACTTCTAAATAAACTTTGGCATCTCTACTAGCTAGGTTTGTAACATTTAGAAGACTGTAATTTAAGAAGCTAGATAAGCAGGAGGTCTGTCACATGAAAAGTACAACATAACTATGGAAGAGTATTGAGATTGTGTTCTCTGATGTGGCCATCTGTCCAGCTATTGTGGACATTATTATATAAATTACATGTGAGAAAGTCTCACTGCAATTATATGAATCTTAAATTCTGAATTCCCAACTGGGTTCATCCTTGCTCTCTGAACATTACTTCTAAAGAAAAAGCTATTTGCATATTCCCTTTCTAGCACACAATTTCATCTAGCATTAAAGATTTTACTACCAAAGCTGACAAGATGTCAAATACTCCTGCAAAGCAATGATGTAAAGTTGGGTTGGGGGGAGACGTGCACAGATTTCACTGTCAGCATTGCTAAGAAGGACTTCCATTCTGTCACTAAATGTTCAACCTCAGGCAAGTTCTAGAACCTTTCTAAACCTCAAAGCCCCTATCTCTAGTCAGGACACATATTTTCCAGGGATATTTTTAAGATGAATCAATACAGCACACTAAATGTTTAGTACAGAGGTTGGCACATAGTAAGTGCTCAATCAATGTTGCCTCCACTTTCATAAAACAGGTTTGAGCCTAGATTTTCCAAATAACTGTCACAGCACTGCTTCAATTTGCCCCAGGAAACCTGATAACTATATGCACTACTTTAATCTTTGATTCCCACTGTTTCTATGACACCAGGTGCAAAATCATCAGAGCCTGTTATTTATCCGGCTTGGCAGGTACGCAGAGTACAGCACAGTAGGAAAAAACCCAAATGTTTGCTATAAAAATCCTGTGGATTAAAGATTACTTACAAGTGGAATTTTCTATTATCTAATAGCTACCTGCTTCCAAGTGTCTTCCTTGTGGCAATAATTTGAATGTGTTTGGGGATATGCAGCACAACCTCCGTCAGCACAAATCACCAGAGTGTTCATTAAAAGGATATAAAACCTGGCAAACAATGGTCATTGGTAAACCCTAGCATGAATCCACTACCATGAATCCTTCCTCACAGCTTGATTTCCAGTAATCTGTTCTGTAGGGTGAGCCAATAGCTTATATGCTAAATACTATAGTGGTGAGCTAACAGTGACATAAAATAGTCAACATTCATAGACTTTTTACAAAAATCACTGGATGATGACAAAGGTTACCATTGTTCTGAATAACACCAACCACTGTGATAATTACCTTACACACACTAACTTTAAGTGAGACCTGCTCTAGATTGCTTACCATTTACAAGATGGACAGAAAGATTAAAGCAGAAAATTAAAAAAAAAAAAAAAAGGAATTCAGAGATCATCTTCTTTCTGTCACCCATGCTGCTATAGCCAGTGGAAGCAGAAACTCAAATACTCTAATACCTCCCCAACATTCCTATCAGCAAGGTTTTACCAGACAACCAATTGCAAGCTTCATAGATAAAGCATGGTTAAGAAGAGCTTGGTTGAGCTCCAGGAGATCTAGAAAACTAAGACGACAAGGTCTTAGATGACAGGTAATAAAAGGAATGTGTTTATCCAATCTTACAAAACAACAGCAATGAAATTCACATTTACTTTACAAAGTAGTCCCAATACATGACCAAGTAACCTAGAAAGGCTGGCAAAGCAAAATCAGATTTCATTTAATCAACAAGTAAGAGAAACACCACCTTCTATACGACACATCTTTGTACATGCACAGAACCAATGACTGAGCTAACTGCTATAATGGAACAAAGACAACTGACTTCATGGTAGTAAAAGAAATCCACGGTCTCCAAACTAAAAGACAGTCTAACTTAGTTACCACCCAATGTAAGCACTTTTGAAAGTGCAAATGGTACTAGAGAATTATTCCACATTCCTATTTTTATTTTCTAGAAATGTTCAAACAACCAAATTTGCTAGGTGAATAAATGAACTGTTTCCCTCAAAACTGATATAGCAAAACATCAAACAATAAAGTATGTTATTAAAAAAAAAACTGTGGCCATATTAAATTCATAAAATGTCACATTAGTAACAGCTAAAAGCTGAATGTGATGCCAAACTTTCCAAGTATAAAAAGCATTTTTAAAAATTCAATGCCAATATTAATT